GCAGGAGCTCCACCGAAGGCGCCAATGGCAGGGTTGGCATGGCCCCACAGTTGTGCTGGTTCAACAACCGCGCCTGGGCGTCGTACTCCGCTTTGTCGACGTGCAACGTCACCTCTTCCCTCATGGCTCTCAAAGCCCTCTCATGTTTCTGCTCCTCGGTCAGAAGGACGCCGTCCTTGTCGTCGTCGGCGCTGGCGAAGACGGCCACGAATGTGTTCCTGAGCATGTCGGGCTCTGGCGAAGATGGTATTCACAACTACGCTATTCACAACTGCCTACAGTTGGGTCCTTCGCCTGGCTAATTTTTCGGCGAGGCAGGGCACTCTAGGTGGGTTCGGGCGGCCAGGGGGGTATAAATGTAACGCCTCCCCCCCGCCGTGCGCACGGCGGCAGTGCCCGGAGCCCACTCGGGGGGGAAGGGGCGTCACGTTACATACGGGGGTGGGGGAGGGGGGGGGTGCCGAGCGCAGTCACGTGGCCGCGGCCAGGGAGCTTAGACCGCGAGGCAACGGACGTGCACACGACGTGCCCCGGCTGCGGGGAGATATGGGGGGCAGGATCGCCCGGCACCGGAGCGGGAAGCCGGCTCGAAGCGAAAGGCGCGTCGCGCCGGGCCGCATCGGCACCGAGTCGGAATCGAATCGGGTCGCCCGCGCCAGGATGCGCGGCAGCGCCACGCGCGAGCATCGGGCGGCGTCGCACCGTCGGAACGTCGGAATCGAAGGAGATCGGCTCGGCCAGAATGCGGCATCGAACCGCACCGCTCACCTCGGGGAGGGCCCCGAGGGGGAGGCAACGCGGGCCGGCGTGCCTGCTGCTGCTGCGCCGCGGCCGCGTGCTGCTGCTGCGCCGCGGCGATCTGCTCGTTGCTGTAGCCCTGCTGCTGGAGCGCGGCGATCTGCTCGGGGGTGAAGCTCATCGCCCACCACCCAGGCTGACTTGGCCCTGGGCGCGCGGGCAGCGGCGGCCGCGGCAGCGGCGGCGGCAGCACCGTGGGGGGGGCGCCCTGCCGCCCTAAATGCCCGGGCGGGTCCCTCGGGCACTGCGCAGGCCCGCGCCGGGTCGACCCGGCGGCGACGCCCGCGCGGGCGCTCGAGGTCGCACGCCGGCAGGTGGTCCAGGATCGGCCGACGTCGAGCGACCCGCGCTGTCGGCGAGCCTCCAGGTATCCCCCCCCGTTCCAAGATGTTTCCATACTTTTTTCCTAAGGTCGACGATGAATTGTGTCTATGTTTTCCCCCTCCTGACACTGAGCCGTCACGGCTTCCCGGCAGCACAGATACCAAGACGAAGCCAGGACGAGAGGACAAGTTCGGGTGAGGATGGATCAGAGATCTCTGAGATCTGGCGGCTCTGGAAGATGCATCGGACGCCGCGGCCTTCTCAGGGCGATCCGGAGCGCTCTGAGAGCGCTCTGGAAGGCTCTGGAGTGGATTTATCCTCAGCCTAGCCCTGCCCGGAGGTCGCTCGATGTCGGCCCACTCTGGGCCACTGGCGGCGTTCAACGTTGAGCGCCAGCGAAGGGGCGTCGCCGCCGCGTCGACGCAGCACGTGCGAGACAGGGATTTATCAATATCCACCGCCTGGGAAATGATGTGTTGGGACCGCAGGGGGGGACGACGACTACTACTACTACTACTACTACTACTACTACTACTACTACTACTACTACTACTACTACTACTACTACTACTACTACTACTACTACTACTACTACTACTACTACTACTACTACTACTACTACTACTAACTACGACTACTACTACGACGACGACTACTACTACTATTACTTCTACTACTACTCCTACTACTACTACTACTACTACTACTACTACTACTACTACTACTACTACTACTACTTACTACTACCTACTACTACTACTACTACTACTAATGCTTACTGCTAAGACTGCTTACACGATTACGACTACGACTACGACTACTACGACTACACTACGAACTACACTACACGACTACGACTACTACTACGACTACTACTACTACTACTACTACTACTACTACTACTACTACTACGACTACTACTACGACTACGACTACGACTACGACTACGACTACGACTACGACTACGACTACGACTACGACTACGACTACGACTACGACTACGACTACGACTACGACTACTACTACGACTACGACTACGACTACTACGACTACGACTACTACTACTACTACTACTACTACTACTACTACTACTACTACTACTACTACTACTACTACTACTACTACTACTACTACTACTACTACTACTACTACTACTACTACTACTACCACGTGCACGACGCTGGAGACTTGTGTTCATGATTCGCGATGACGGGCGCCATCGGCGGAGGGGTGGGGAATTCGTTCCTGGCGATCACAGAACGGCGGGCCGCCGGAAATCTCTGGAACTCATCGACGAAAATGTAGGACACATCTTTCTGCAAATGTGGGCACAATAGCGTGACGTGATCCGCGGGGGGGGGAGATGGACGATCACGGCCGTTCTTTGGACGCCTGGGCTATTCAGGATAACTGCTGTCTGGGGTAACTCCAGTTTGGGCCACCGAGGCGCGAATCTGCTGTTACCCCTGACTGCCGCCAGCCCTGATGATTCGGAAATCGGGGTCGGCCAAGAGGGGGGCGTCCAAGAGGGGGGGGCGCAAATCATGACCGGCGGCATGTGCGCGGCCCAGCGGGGGGGCCAGGGACGTAATGGAATAAGAAGAGGCGCCATGAAATATGTGGAAATATCGTGGCCCCCGCCATGATATCCACCCCCCCCTAGTCATCATCCCCTGCAAGTGATGCTGCCCCGGAGGAGAAGGTTGGACGCCCGAGTCATCCAGGATAACTGAGGTACGGGGTAGTTCCACTCTGGGCCCCGAGGCGCGGATCTGTAGCCCTCCCTGACCGCCCCCAGCCCTGCTGCTTCGGGGCTCTGAGTTCTCGCCCCGACCTTCAGACATCGTGGGATTGTTCTCCACCACCACAACCAGAAGTAGGAGGGGGAGGGGGTCCTCCTCCTCCTCCTCCTCCTCCTCCTCGTCGTCCTCCTCCTCCTCCTCCTCCTCCTCCTCCTCCTCCTCCACCGCCGTCCCCCCTCCAACTTGTGGTGGTGGTGGTGGAAAACAGGCCCACAAAGATAGCAGGCTTCTGCGAGCCACGGCCCTCTCCACCGGCTCTCCCGCCCACGGGCCCGCGGCGGCGCACCGGCCCGCCTTCGCAAGCGCGCTGCGGCAGCGCGTGCTCCGCCGGAGGAGCATCAAAAAGCTTGCGGAGCCGACGGGCAGCGCCGCGGCAGTGCGGCGGGGGCGTGCGAGTACAGTCGGACCTGGGCCAGCAGAACACCCCTCAAGGACATGAAACCCTCCGCGGGCCTCCTCGAGGGCACCCACCCCCGGAGTGCACACGAGCACCCAACAGGCACGACGAACACTGGGGCACCCTCTCCGAGGCGACCTCGCTCTCGTGCCTCGGTCCGACCTCGTAAGAGGCGGGGGAGGGCACGGAGGTGCCACCGCATGGCCACCTCGCCAATTCATCTGGTCGGAGCTGCCTGCACTGCCGACCCAGAGCTACCCTGAGGTCGGGCCTGTCTCCCTACAGGCGGATGATGGACGAAAAATGAAAAACACTCAAAAATGATTCCAAAAATGCTCAATAATCGTCACAAAATAGTCCCCGCACTATTATCTGACTATATTTGAATATTCCTCCTGTAGAGGGACAGGCCCGACTTAACACTGCCGCCGATCCAGAGCTACCCCACGAGCGACCTGACCTACGAGCGACGAGCACCTCGTTAGCCTTACCCCCGTGGGCTGGATTCCCGGGCGAAGTCCTACTGGCACGCAGTCCTGTGTCCTGTGGATGCGTTCCTCGGGCCAGGCGAAAGGGGGCGATAGCAAAGGGGGTGTTTGAGAATCAGCTCACGTAGCCGATTTTCCCAGCGCCTGTGGCGCCGGGAGGCGCCCATGTATCGAAGAATGGGCCCGGCGGCAGGGCCGAAACCAGCTGCATGAAGCAGAGTTCGTAACACCTCCTTTCCCTATCCCCCCCTTTCGTTCGGCCTGAGTTCCGCGCGGGGGCATCCTCGCAGAACCGCCCCAGATCTGTGGAGTCGCGGCCGCGAGGTCTAGACCGCGAGGCCGCTGACACGGACATGTTCCCAGTCCACGCTGCATGGTCACCTCACGCATACCCCACCAATATGTCTGGTCAGAGCCTGTCGGCTAGACTAATGGCGCGAGTTTTTTTTGAAAACGCTAGGCGGGGAGCGAAATCTGGAGGCTCAGTAGCGGTGACCAGGGCCTCCACGTCGCACGTGGTCGCGGACGTGTGCAATTTGTTGCTGCGCGTCGCCGCACAGCCGCCCGCCGCCGCCGCTCGCTGGAGGAAACGGTGGGGATAAGCAGGAGGGGACGCCTGGGGGGGTCAGAACTCAAAGGGGCGATCAGCATACTGCTACAGACCCATGATCCTGCCAGTAGGTTCATCTTTCTGGAACCAGGAGGAAAAGGAACCTCGAAAACGACAAACAGCGCAGCCAAGGCAGCTATCCAAAACCAAGGGAGGGCGGGAAAGGGAGGGCGGGAACGGAACGGAGAAGAAAATCACGCGGCCAAGGGCGAGGAGTCGACGAAAGCGACCCAGGAGAGGCCGGGGCCCGCCGGGGCGCCGGAACAGCTACCAAGACAGCGCCCTTTTCAGACGCACATATGTCTGCAATCCTGGAGAAATGACACTGGGCTCCAGGATCGCCTCCCGCATCTCGCTGAGCAGCGCTGGGGCCCGCTGCCACTGCCAGCCCCTCTCACACGTGCTGACCCCAACGCTAAAACTGATGACGTCCGCTTCTAGCTTCGCCCCCCGCATCTCGCTGAGCAGCGCCACCGCCCGCTGCCGCAACTGCTCGCTTACTCCGCAGGCGCTGATCCCAGCGCTGTAGCTGTCTAGGGTGTACCTGTGGGACACATCCGCAGTTGTCCCTGCGGGGGAACGCGGCGGGGCCGTCTCTGGGCCATCTTGGATCGCTTTGGGCACCTCTTGGGCCGTCTTGGGGCTTTCCCTGAGCTGTCCTGCAATTCTCCTGGACAGTCTGGCAGCCTTGCAGGAGGTTCTGAGAGCACCCAGATGCCCTCGAACATTGCCCAAAGAGGCGCCCCAGGAGGCCCGAAGGCGGCCCTGAGAGGAGCGCGTTTCTTTATTTTCAGCGATAACGGGCGTTATGGAAGCGGGGGGGTATGACGTAACGCCCCTCCCCCCGGCCGTCTGGCTCCGGCACTACAGGAGCCCGTTTTCTTATTTTCTGGGAGAGCGGCCGTCATCGGCCCCAGCCCCCCCCCCTCCCCCCAGATGACGTCACGGCCCGCGCCGTTGGCGTCCAGGAATGCCTAGGGATGACCGGGGCCAACTAGGAGCAGCATGAATGCGGCAATCTGCCCCACAACGCCTGTGTACACCACAGTGCCTGCGTGCACCACAGCGAGCGGTACACCACAGCGCCTGCATACACCGCAACAGCCGTGTGCAACGCATCGCATGTGTACACCACAGTGCTTGCGTGCACCACAGCGCTGGTGTACACAACAGCAAATGTGTGCACCGCAGCAACCATGTGCAACACAGCACCTGTGTACACCACAATGCTTGCTTGCACCGCAGCGCCTATGCACACCACGGCGCCTGTCTACACCACAGCATCCGCGTGCGTCGCAACGCTGTTGTGTACCACAGCGCCTGAGTGCACAGAACACGCAGAAGGAGCATGTAGGTTAGGAGATGCTGATGACAGCCAACACCACGACAGGGTAATGTTGATAGTAGAATACAACGTTCTTCCCCCTCCCTCCTCCTCCACCTCGTCCTCTGCCTCCTCCTCCTCCTCCTCCTCCTCTGCCTCCTCCTCCTCCTCCTCCGCCTCCTCCTCCTCCTCCCTCACCCTTCCCCCCTGTCATGCGAATCGGCGCTACAGCGCACGTGAGCATCTCAGCGTGACTGCAGAATGGTCGATTGAATCAGTACAGTTGGTTTTCGAACTGCCAATCCTGCTTGAGCCTCCTGGGCGCAGAAGGGAGGAGCTAGGATGATGCGGGAGGACTCGGGAGGACTCGTAGGTTCCAGCGGCGCTCCTTTTTCCAGAAGGATTCCTGTACAAATCCTATACCAAAACAACTGTTTTCTGTCGAATCCACCAGCGCTCCATTTTGTCATAAGAACTCCTTCTAGAATTTGATATGCAACAAGGGTGCTCTGTTGCACACGGTTGCTGTGGTGCACACAGGCGCCGTGGTGAAAACAGGCGCTGTAGTGCACGCAGACATTGTGGTGTACGCTGGTGCTGTGTTGCACACGGTTGATGTGGTGTACGCAGGCGCTGTGGTGTACACCGGTGCCTGCAGGCACTGTGGCACACACAGGTGCTGTGTTGCACGCTGCTGCTGCTGCTGTGTACATAGGCAGCGTGGTGTACACAGGCGCTGTGGTGCACGCAGGCACTGTGGTGTACACAGGCACTGTGGTGCAAATCGCCACCTACATGCTGCTGCGACCCGTCCTCCGTCATTCCGAGAATTTCCCTGACGCCGCCGGCTCGAAACGTGACGTCATCGGCCCCCTCCCCGCAACCCCCCAGATGACGGTCGGCCTCGGCCCGGAACAAAAAAGCAGGCTCCAGCCGCGTCAGGGCGCACGACGACGATGAGCGACGAGCGACGACGAGGACGACGATGACCACGACGACGACGACGACGACGAGCGATCACGACGACGACGACCACGACGACGACGACGACGACAACAACAACGACGACGACGACGACACCGACGGCGACGACGGCCACGAGCGAAGCCTCTGGAGGTCTCAGGAGGTTTCCCGAAGCCCCCGGAGGCCTCCTGAGGCCTCTTGAAGCCTCCAGAGGCCGTCCCGAGGACATCCGAGAGCCTCTAGAGGCCCTCGAAAGAATTCGAAGGCGTTCGGCAAGGACGAGCGACCGCGAGCTATGACGACAGACGACAACGACAGCGACGACAAACATGACGACGACGAACATGTCGACGACGACGACGACGAGCGACGACGATGACAACGACGACGACGACGACGACGACGACCGACAAGGAGGAGCGACGACGACGACGATGACGAGCGACGACGAGCGACGACGAGCGACGACGACGATAACGACGACGACTACGACGACGACAATGACGCCAGCGACCGACAAAAAAGAGCGACGAGGATTTGTGGCGAGCACATGCCTGCGAAGGCGTCGTTGCCTCCACGTAGCGTATAAGATGTATGCTCCTTAGCTCCCTCCTTCATCCTAGTCGTCGTCGTCGCTCTTCGTTGTGGGTCCCTATGCAGATCCCTATGCAGATCCCTATGGGGATCCCTATGCAGATCCCTATGGGGATCTCTAGAAGGCTCTCTGGGAATCTGAATGCGGACCCCTATGCGGATCCCTGTGATGACCTCTGTGCAGATGCCCATGCGGATCACTTTTCGGGGTCGTCTGCGGATCCCTGTGCGCACGGCGGCAGTGCCGGGGGCGCACTGGGGGCTGGAGCGTTACGTTACAGAGGGGGGGGGGAGGGGGCGGGAGGGCCAGAATGCGCGCCCTGGCCCAAGCAATAAACAAACCGGCTCCTACAACAAGGGGGTGCTGTAGCACCCGTTGGGAGGCCCCTTCGGGCTCTATGGAAGCTCTATTGGTGCCGTCTTGGGGTACACCTGGGACTCTTGGGTTCTCTTTTGAGCAGGGACCGACCGTCCCGGCATTCCTCTAGGCCCACCACGAAATGCTCTTAGAGCCAAAAATGTTCTGAAAACAAAAACAACATTCTCAGAACATAAACACGATATGATAAAACAAGACAGTCCCAGCCAGACAGATTCTAAGAACACTTCGTGGATACCACAACAGGCTCTTAGAACACTGTCTGGTAGGCCAATAGGCACGCCAAGACGCTTCGCCACTGCTCGAGTCTTGGGCGCCTCCTGAGCCGTCTTGGGGCTCTCTGGGGCCGTCCTCGGGCTCTCTCTTGAGCTGCGCTTGGATCCTCTCTGGAGGCCCCGTGGCCCAGCCTGGGGCGATCCATTGGGAGCTGCTGGGCGGACGCTGCAAGGGCCCAGAAGCCGTGCAGGCTCGAAAGTTTAGAGAAGCCTTGCAGAAAAAACAGATGCTTGCACCTGGGCAGCAGTCCAAACCCTGGTCGGATGCGCTATGCCCCGGCTTATCGGGGTGTACCCCGGTTTGCCAGGGGACACCCTCTCTGGAATATGAGCCTGGGAAGACCTTCCACAACTGATGTCGATTGAAAGCCATAGTTCGAAAGTCTGGAGTGCCAATGGTGAGCCCTTCAGGGGTCCACATGGGTTCCTGGGAAAAGAGTCGGGGGACAGTCCGACTGCAGCAATGATAGTCTGAGCGGGCGGCTTCATGCGAATCGCATGCTCCTCTATCCAAGTGGACGATGCCAACCGCTTGGGGTTCCTATGTGAAACGTATGCGTGTCATATGCGAATCGTATACGGACCCAATGTGAAACGTGTACGGTTCTTACGTGATTCGCATACGCTCCGATGCGAAACATCGACGAACCCGATGCGAATCGCATACTAATCCAATGATGCGCAGACAACTCCGATGCGAAACGCACACGAATTCGATGTGAATAGCGGACGAATCCAATATACATCGTATACGTTTCCGATGTGAATATTGTACAAGTCCATGCGGATCTTATACTAATCCCACGCGTAAAGTGTATGTTTCATGCGTTATAGTATACGACTCACCCCGATGGGAATAGTATACGATTCCGATGCGGGCCGTATACGAAACCTATGTGAATCGCAAACGACTCCTATGTGAATCGAAAGCTGCTCCTGCGTGACACGCAACACAGTCATATGCTAATCGTATGCGGCTCCTACGAACCGTACACGCCGATTTTACTCGTCTACGGATCCTATGTGGATCCCACGTGGTCCCTGTGCTAATCGTATACGACTCCTATGCGAATTGTATAAGAAGCCTGTGTGAAACGCATGCGGTTCCAGTGTCAACTGTAGACGACCCATCTGTGACACGCACACGCTTGCTATGTGAATATTATACGGTTTCTGTGTGAATCGTATGCGATTCCAATGTGAATCGTATACAGGCCCTACGTGTACCGTATACGACCCCTCTGCCAATCACATACGATTCCCATGGAGTCGTGTACGAGTCGTAAATGAATCGGGTACGAATTCACGTGGGCCGTGTACGATTCTATGTGAGTGACCGACCCCTGTTCGAATTGTATACGAATGACTCGCCTACGATTCCCATATAATTCGCTTGCGGTTCCGACTCCAATCGTGTACTACTCTCTAAAAGAGCCGTGAAAAAACCTAAAGAATCCAACATAATCTCCCAAATCCCTACGGTCCTAAAGAACCGTACGGAACCGTAAGAAAAACGCAGAAGTCCTGAGGAACCTCTACGGATCCGTTGGGATCCTAACGAATGGGCCGAACTGGAATCATGATGGAAACCTCGGGAAACCTGTAGAATCCTGAAACGAATTCCAAGGAATCCTGAAGGAACCCAGAGAACCCTCAGGGACCCGAATGCAACCTACGACACCCTCAAGAACTCAAAGAATCCGCGGGCCGCTGGGGTCCCCGAAGCCCGAACGCAGCGAAAACAAAACAGACTGGTTTCCCTCAATACCCCCTTCCCTCGAATCCGATGGGTTTCCGGCTCCCATGGCTCCCACTTAGCTCCACGTCCTCCTCCTCCTCCTCCTCCTCATCATCATCATCCCCCTCCTCCTCCACCTACCCGTCCTCCTCCGCCTCCATACGTATATCGCCTCCCCTACTCCTCCTCCACGTCCTCCTCCACCTCCTCGTCCTCCTACTCCTCCTCCTCCTCCTCCACGTCCTCCTCCTCCTCCCTCCTCTCCTCCTCTCTCCTCCTCCTCCTTCCTCTCTTCCTCTCCCCTCCTCCTCCTCCTCCTCTCTCTCATCTTCCTCCTCCTCCTGCACCTCCTCCTCCCTCCTAATCCTCCTCTCTCTCCACCCTTCGTCCTCCTCCTCCTCCTCCTCCTCCTCCTCCTCCTCCCCTCCTCTTCAACAGCATCATCATCAGCATAAACAACATTATCAGAATCAGCATCAGCATCACCATCATCAGCAGCAGCATCATGATCAGCATCAGCATCATCATCATCGTCATCGTCAGCAACAACATCATCATCAGCAGCAGCATCAGCATCAGCATCATCATCCGCATCAGCATCAGGTCATGGCCCACAGCCTCCGCCTCATCCTCCTCCTCGACATCATAAAACTCATCAGCCTCAGCATCAGCATCGGCATCAGCATCAGCATCAGCATCATCATCCTCATCCTCATCATCATCATCATCATCATCATCATCATCATCATCATCATCATCATCATCATCATCATCCTCGTCATCGTCAGCAGCAGCATCACCAGCATCATCGAGATCAGCATCATCAGCATCAGCAGCAGACTTTCATCAGCATCTGCAACAGCATCAGCATCACCACCACCATCAAGACCACCACAGTTAGCAGCATCAGCATCATCATCATAACCACCACAATCCACATCATCAGCATCATCATCAGCATCACCATCATCGCCATCAGTGTCCTTATAATCATCATCAGCATCATCATCAGCATCATCAGCATCACCATGATCAGCAGCATCAGCATACTCATCATCATCAGCAGCATCAGCATCATCATCATCAGAATCAGCATCATCATCATCAGCATCATCAGCATCACCATGGTCATCATCATCAGCAGCAGCATCATCATCACCGCCATCATCGTGGTCATCAGCATCATCATCAGCAGCATCATCATCCCTCCTTATTATTCCTTCCCCATTCCCCATCCTCAGCACTCCTCCCCCTACCCCTGATGGTGCTTGGTGTTTGGAAGTTTAGGACTTGGTGTGTTTGGGGGGTGGAGGTTCGGGCTTGGTGTATAGGTCAGGTTTTATGGTGTATGGTGCATGGAGTTTGGTGTTTGGGGTTTTCGATTGTGGGTTTGATGTTTGGGGTTTGGTGCTTGGGGGTTGGGGTTTAGGGGTTTGGCGTCTGGGATTGTGTGTGGTGTTTGGTGTTTGGTGTTTGGAGCTTGTTTGGTGTTTGGGGTTTGGTGTTTGGTGTTTGGTGTTGGGTATTTGGCGTTTGGTGTATGGGGTTTGGGGGTTGTTGTTTGGTGTGTTGGGTTTGGTGTTTGATGTGTTGGGTGTAATGTTTGGTTGTGTCTGGTGTGTTGGGTGCGTGCTTGGTGTCTTGGGGGGTCTGGAGGGCTCCAAACCCGGGCATAGCCCAACTTTGCAAGGGCACAGCCCTATAAACCGGGGTATAGCCCATCCAACAGGGGTGTAGGAGTCAGCCACCGGAGAGCCCTGCTGGGCGTACCCTTGGAGCGCCCTGGGTTTTTTTTGGAAGGCCTTTCGGACGCCTGGAGGCCGTCTTGGGCTCTGAGGCCGTGTGGACGCCATCTTGGGCCTTCTTGAGGCCATCCTCGGCTGTGCCGGAGGCGTCTTCGGCGAACTTGGAGGCCTCTTGGACTCGCTTGGGCCGTCTGGGAGGCGCAGGCCCTCCTGTGGGGCCCTCCTGGCAGGACCCCTTGGGCACTGCCACAAGAGCGACGCACCACGCGCTGCTTCCGGTACTGTAGAATAGATGACGTCTTGTTTCAGTTTCGCCTCCACATCTCGCTGAGCAGCGCCAAAGCTTCTGCTTGCCCTTCTTGCAGGCGCTGAGCCCAGCATCCGGAATCGCCTCCCGCATATCACTGAGCAGAGCCAGAGCCCACGGCCGTGGTTCGCCCTTCTCGCATGCACTGTTCAAAGCGCTGCAAGAGAGATGACATTGGGCTTCAGTTTCGCCTCTCGCCCGCGGCCACTACTCGACCTGCTCGCACGCGCTGATCCCAGCGATGCAGCTGATCACGTTGGGCTCCAGCTTCGCCTCCCACATTCCGCTGAGCAGTGCCAGAGCAGCTGCCATTGCTCGCCCCTCGTGCACGCGCTGATCCCAGCGTGTAGACGATGACGTCTGATGTCAGCTTCGTCGTCCCACATCGCGCTGAGCAGCTCCAGAACCCGCTACCACTGCTCGGCGTTGCAGCACGCGCTGATCCCAACGCTGTAGCTGACTAAATAATTGTGTACCCGTGGGGCACATCCGCAGGTGCCCTGGCAGGGGAACGCGGCGGGGCCATCTCTGGGCCATCTTGGGTCGGCATGGGCGCCTGTGGGGCCGGCTTGGGGCTTTCCCTGAGATGTCCTGCAGCTCTCTTGGGCCGTCGTGACCCCTTGCAGGAGGTCCTGAGACCACCCAGAGGGCCTCGAATATTGCCCAAAGAAGGGCTCCAGGGGGCCCGAAGACCGCCCCAAGAGGGCCTCCACGAAAGCACAACAGGGGGGTGCGTTGTAGCATCTGTTGGGAGGGCCTCTTCGGGCTCTGGGAGCGCTCTTGGGGCCGCCTTGGAATGCACCTGGGACTCTAGTGGGCCATCGCTGGGCAAGTTTGGGTAGTCTTATGGGCGGTTTGGGCCGTCTTGGGGTTCTCTGGGGCCGTCCTGGGGCCCCCTCGAGCCGCCTCTTTTTGGAGACACGTTGGGCTGGTTCAGGGCGATCTTGGGGGCTATTGGGCCGCCGTGGACGCTGCAACGGCCCGAAAAAAAACGTGTATGCTAAACATGTGTTGTTGTTGTTGTTTTTTTTATGTGTTGTTCCTTACAGCAAAAAACAGAAAGCTTTGGATGTTTGCACCAGGAGGCACTGCTGGGAGTGCTCTTGGATCGTTCTGGTGGCCCCTGGAAGGCTTTTCGGCCGTTGGGAGGCTGTCTTGGGCTATCGTGGGGCCCTCAAAGGCCGTCTGGACGCCATCTCTGGCCATCTTGAAGCCGTCCTCGGCCGTGTCGGAAGCATGCTCGGTGAACTCGGAAGCTTCTTGGGCTTCGCAGGCCCTCCCAGGCGGGCTTTCCCGGCGGCCCCCCCAGGCTTCGCCACGCCTCGCACGCTCCGAGCGGCGGCGAGACCCGAGCGGGCCCGCCTGGGCGGGCCGACGATCGGACCCCCGACGCGCCGACAAGGGTCGGATTCCCAGCAGGCCCAACGAGGGCCGACCACGACGAGAACGACGAAACCCTTGAGGTGAAGCTGTCGGACGCAAGCTTGCCCAGCAAGGCAGATGAGAAGGCACCACTCAGCTGCCAAGACGCCACTCAATACCACGTGGACGCCACGCTCGACTGTCTCGCACGCGCCGACTCCAGCTTCGTAGCTGAATAGGCTGCCCCGTAGACGAAGCTCAGGGCCAGCAGGCGACACAATCATTACGAGGACGTCTTGGGCCAGAAAGGCGAAGAGGCCAAAAGCATTGTCAAATGTCAGGTGCTCGATGCGTGTAGCCCTCTTGGGACTGCAGAATGGGATATCTGGGGGCACCTTGGGGACATCTGGCGGCGCTCTGAAGCGCCCCGGGCCCCTCGCGCCATTTGGGGTTGTCCCGCCCTGTCTCGGGGGGCCGTCGTCGGGACCCCGTCCCGGGGCCGCCCCGGATGCACCTGGGGCTCTCTGAGTCCCTTGCTGGGGCCGTCTCGCCAGCCCTTTCGGACCGATCCTTTAAACCTCTTGGCGGGCTCTGGCCACGGCCACGGCCAGCCACGGCCACGGCCACGGCCACGGCCACGGCCACGGCCACGGCCACGGCCACGGCCACGGCCACGGCCAGCCACGGCCACGGCCACGGCCACGGCCACGGCCACGGCCACGGCCACGGCCACGGCCACGGCCACGGCCACGGCCACGGCCACGGCCACGGCCACGGCCACGGCCTGGACGTTCCAGCTCCAGAGTACCCTGCTCTCGCACGCGCTGCACCAGAACAGGGATCAAGTCGGGCTCCAGTAGCGCCTCGGGCGGTCTGGAAGCCTTTTCGGGGCCACCTTGGGTCCACGCAGGCCTCCCCATGGGACGCCGTCGGGGCATCTTGGGGTCCTTTCGGGCATTCTCCTGGGGCCGACTCGGGCTATCTTGGAGGCGTGTTGGCATAGATCGCCGTCCGGGCATAGTGGGGAGTCCTTTCGGGCATTCTTGGGGTCATCTTGGAGGCTTCTTGGGGCACTCCGTGGGCCGTCTTGGAAGCTCAGTGGCGCAGCCTGGGGGCCTCTCGGGGTTCTCCCTTTGGGGGCTTCCGGGCCGCACGCCAACTCATCTGGGGCCTCCCCTGCACATGCGAACCCTACCCCTACCCCCCACGATTTCTGACAGGGAGGGTGGGGTTCACTTGGCTCGGGAGCTCCCGAACGAAGTGAACCCCACCCTTCCCCTCAGAAATCGTGGGGGGTAGGGGTAGGGTTCGCATGATATCGCCCGCCTGCTTCCTCGCACACGACGAGGCCGCAAGGCGGTGGCAAAGACAGCGCGCCTCCAGCACGGCCAGCATCACGTCCACCCTGGCACGTAATCCCTCCCTTCTCCCCTGGTGAATTACCCCGCCAGGTCCTCCCTTGGGCCCTGCAATGCACCCCTAGTCACGCGCGGGCCGTGCTCCGCAGGCTGCAGGCCCCGGTCTGGGTGCCCGCAGCCATGCTGGCAGCGGCCACGGTTGCTTAGGCGCGGCCGACGCCGCCTGAGCTCCAAGCCGACCGCGACCCAGAGCAGCCCCGACGCCTTCCCCCGGCAGCCCCATCCCCTTCCTCTCAACCACAACCACCCCAGACCCCGACGCCCTGCCCTGCCCCCCGACGACCGCGACCGCCACCGACGCCCGCGACCACGACCGCACCCGACCGACGCCCTGCCCTGCCCAGACGGCGCCCCCAATACCCGTTGCCCTGGCCGCGACGACGACGACGACGGCCACCGACCATCCCCGACCGACCCTCCGTCCCTGCTTGCTCTGCGCTGCTTGTGCTGATCCCCTCCCTCCTCCTGGTCAGCGTTTGTTTGCTGTGTGTTGTTTTTCGTTCGTCTCCTTCTCATCCTCCCTCCTCCTCCTTCTCCTCCTCCTCCTCAGCAGGCTGGGTGGCGCCTTTTTTTCTGAGCTCGGCGGCAGAAGTTTCCGCCGTCCCCCAGGGCGCCTGGGTCATCAGCAATCGCCCGCAGGCGGGCCTCGGTTTCAGACTCATGGGGATATTTTCGTCGGGCCTCTTCGACCGTGTCGGGGTCCCCTGGGCCTCTCCAGGCGCCTCCCTGGTCCTCTCCTGGGCCCTCTGATGCACCTTGCGACGACGCTTCTTCGGGCCTCTTCAACCGTGCTGGGGTCCTCTGGGGACCTCTGAAGCCGTCCCTGTGGCGCCGCCTCGGGGCGCTGCGGGCCCGTCCTTGGAGTCTCCAGGCTGACAAGGTGCGCCTTTCTCGCACGCGCTGGTTCTGGCAGTGTAGAGGAGACTAGTGCGAACCCCGTGGATTCAATCCACGGTGTACTGAACCTGGGACTCGCACTCCGTGGGTGAACAGCTCGTCGAGGTTGAACAGCTCGGGCGTCCCTAAGGCTGTTTCGGGGGCATGTTGGGTCCTCCTGCGAGCCTGTCTGATGCGTCTTGAGGGCCTCTGACGGTTGTTGGTCGCTTCTGGGGCCGCTCCCAGGCTGTCCCCCAAAGCATCTTCTGGGGGACAGCCCGGGAAACTTGTTGTGCGTGCCGTGTTGTGTCACCCCTGAGGTTAGCTGCAGGGTTTGCTGCAGGATCCAGGAGCCAGGTCTGGAGGCTGTCTCAGGGGGGGTCTGCGCCCTCTCGGAGTGGCCCAGGGAAGGATCTCGTGGTCTTGGGGCTGCCTAGGGGCCACCGAGGGCTCTACTCTCGGGGATGGACAGAACCCCCTTTAGCAAAACGTGGTTTAGTGAAAACGACCTCGGGCCCAAATCTGGCGGGCGAAAGCCTGGAAACTGACGGCCACGGCGCCCTCTCGAGAACCGAAAACGGACAATTCACTAATCGACGTGTCACTATTGGGGGTTCTGTCCAGCCCCGATACTCGGCCGTGGGGGGGAGCGAGATACTGGTCCCCGCAGTGTCTGCAGGTCCCCACCCCTATCGCCCCTCCTCGGCCGTAGAAGGGGAGCGACCGGAGCGGCTGCAAGTTCCCCCCGTCACCCCTAACAGAGGCGGAGTGGAGGCACCAGAGCGGCCGGAGCCTCGGTGAGGAGGGAGGAGGAGATCGGAGGAGAAGGTCCCCCCTGTCACCCCTAATCCGCCACGGAATGGAGGTCCTGAGAGCGATTCTATGCCATCTCGGAGTGGCCCCGGGATGGCTCGGGCTCCGCGTGAACTATGGGAGTCTCTTGGCAAGCGTCGGAGTCTTCTGGGCGACTCTGGGGCATCTCGGAGTGGCCCCGGGGCCGCTCTTGGGAGCTCTGTGGGGACTATCGGAATCTCTTGGGAGGCTCTGGAGCATCTCGGAGTGGTCTGGGGCCTGCCTTGGAGGTCTGGGGCATTCTTTGAGGCGTTTGGGGTTCGTGAGACGGCGAAAGGGTGTCGTGGCTCGAGGCATTCTCCTTGGGAGCTCCTTGGGAACCATCGAAGTCTCTCGGGAGACTCTGGGGCATGTGGGAGTGGTCCTTGGAGGGCTATTGGCCGATTTGGGGCTGCGGGAACGGCGTCGTCAAAGCTCCCTTCGGTCCCTCGTTGAGCCCTCGTGGGGGTCTCTCCAGAACCACTAGGGACCCTCTTGGCCCATTTCGGAACTTTCTTGGGCCGTCTCGGGGGCCTCTTGGGCCGTCCTGGGACCATGTAGGGGGTCTCGGCCCGTCTTGGAGCTAGCTTTGGTGCCTGTTGGGCAGCTCCTGAGGCCCTCTTGTGGGTGTCTTGGAAGTCACCAGGGGCTCTATGAGGCTGTCTTGGGCTTCAGTATTCGGGCCCTCTGGGGCCGTCTTGGGGCACTTGGCAGGGCCTCCTGGACCTTCTTGGGGCGATCTGGGATGGCCTTGGAGCCGTCTGGGACCGTTCTTGGCCCGAAATGGCGAGAGCATGGAAAACCTTCAAGAACGGAAGAAAGACCTATGATTTTGGCCTCCAGGGACCGTCATAAAGTTCCGGTTCGGCCGTTTTCCTAGGCACCTGGTCCGTCGGCGAGCCGCCTTGGGCTGTCGTGGGGCTCCGTTCGGATCCTCTTGGGCCGTCCTCGCGCGCTCTGGAGAGTCTCAGAGCTGTCTTGGGGCTGTCAGAAGCCGTCTTGGGGCCACCGAAGAGCTCTCTGGAGCCGTCGGAAAGCGCAGGGGCGCTCTGGGCGGTCGGGGGCAGCTGGCGCACTGCCGGCGCATCTCGCACGCGCAACGACCAGAATTGTAGCAGAAAGCAGCTGGCTGCAAGTTGGCCTCCCTTAACTCGCCAAGTAAGCACAACACGTGCTGCCACTTGGAACTTTTTTCGCATGCGATAGCTCCTGCATTGTAGCTGATTAGATCTGGATCCAATGTCATGCTTCTCATCCTGCTGTACAAGCACAATGCATGCTGCCACTGCCCAGCTTTCTCGCAGGCGCTGATCCCAGCATTGTAGCTGATGAGGTTGGGCTCCGAATTCGTCTGCCACATTCCATTCAGCAACAACAGCGCTTGCTCCCACATGTAGCTTTTCTCGCATGCGGTGATGGCTGCATTGTAGCAGGTAACATCTGGCTCCACGATCGCTTGCCCCATTTCGCCCAGTAGCTGCAGCGCACGCCACCAAACCCCGCATATCCTGCAAGAGCTGATCACCGCATTGAAACTGATGGCGTCTGGTTGCAGCTTGGTCTCCCTCAACTCGCTGAGCAACCAGAAAGCCTGCTGCCACTGCCCACCCTTTTCACACGCCGTCATTCCAGAATTGAAGCTGATAGTTGTCAGCTCCATATAAGCTTCGCCCATGTGTCTAAGCAGCGACAGCGCCTGCTGCCACTGTCCACCGTCTGCGCACGCACTTATCCCAACATTGAAGCTAATCGTAGACGGCTCGATTTTCAGTTTGGGCATCCCACTGAGCAGCAGCAGTGACTGCTGCCAGTGTCCGCCGTTCGCGCACGCAGTGATGGCGGCAGTGAAACTGGTGTCGTCTGGCCTTAGCTTCAACATTAAAATCCCGTCTAGTATCAACAGCCCTTTCTGCCATTGCGCGCAACTTCCAAGCGCACTTATTGCAGCATTGTAAGTGATGGCGCTTGGCTCGATACTCAGCTCCCCCATCTCGCACAACAAACGTAGCGCCTGCTCCCACTGCCCACCTTTCTCGCACGCGCTGATTCCAGAGTTGTAGCTGATCGTATTCGGCTCCAACTTAGCCTCCCTCAAATCGCAAAGCAAACACAGCGCATGCTGCCAATGCCCACTCTTCCCACATGCACTAATTCCAACACTGCAGCTGAGAACGTCGTGGTCTAGTGCCGCTTCCGAGAACTCGCTAAACAACGACAATGCCGTCTGCCACTCCCCGCCCTTCTCACATGCACTCATTGCAGCACTGCAGCTGATGACGCATGCCTGCACCATTGTTGTACGCATCTCTTCGAGCAAAGACAATGCCAACTGCCATTCTCCGCCATTCGCGCACGCACTGATTCCAGTATTATAACTGATACTGTCAAGCTTCATCCGTGCCTCCACCATCTCGCTGAACAGTATGAACGCGAGCTGCCATCGCCCGTCTTTCACGCACGCGTTGAGCCCAGCATTGTATATGATGCAATTGGCTTCCACCTGTGTTCCTTTCATCTGGCTTATCAACCGAAATGCTTGCTGCCACTGCGCGCCCTTCCCAACCGCACTGAGTGCAGCACTGTAGCTGAATGCATCCGGCTCCACCTGCGACTCCTCCATTTCGCCGAGAAGCCACAAAGCACGCTGCCACTCCGTGCTTTTCCCACAAATACTGATGACAACATTGAAATATTGTGGGCGTATCTCTGCGTCTGACTCCGCCAACTGACGGAACAAATCCAGTGCTACGTGCCACTGCTTTGTGCTCCCGCAATGTTTCACTGCCCCTGTACAATCTTTCACTGCCCCTGTAAAAGACGAGCTGCGACATTGAATTCCGTGTTGTCTCACCTCCACTGGGGCTAGCAGCATTGGCTAGCCCGCCAGTGGCGATGCACTCTGTAGCAAACCTTGGGCCAGACCACCGACGTCGAGATTTTGGTCACAGCGTGGACCCACGAAAGACTCGACCACCTCCCCGAGCCTGGCAAGGGCCCAAAGAGGCCAAAAACTGGCACAGCCCCCCACCCCCGCCCCCGCCGTGAATTCTGCCACGGCGCGACGGGGGCCTGTCTTGGGTGAGCCGGGTATCCGTATCCGCGCCTCGCGGGCCGGGCCCCTGGGCCGCGGCCCCGCGGATACGGGACGCTTCTTCGCGGAGGCCCCGCGCGGAGCGTACACAAGTGACCGCGTATCCGCGGGATCGCGCCCCAGATTCCAGACCGCGAGGGTGTGGAGGCGGATGAGTTCGCCGTTCGCGGGGCCGGGAACCCCCACCGATATCGGCTGGCTACTTTCGCCAATCTTCTATGCCAGCTGGGACCCCGTCAGTGTATACACTGATGGGGGAAAAAACACACGGCCCAGGCGGCCCCCAAGAAGACCCGAAAGGGCCCCCAAACCGCCCCCAGAGAGGCCCAGAGCGCGAGCACGTACCGGCATTTCGACATTGCCGCCCCAAGACAATGCCAGCAGGCCCCATGAAAATTTCGAGAAGCTCCAAGAGGCCCCCAAGAAGCCCCCAGAAAGCCCGAAAACGCCCCCAGGAGGCTCCGAAGAGGCCCGAAGAGCTCCCAGAATGCTGCTAGCCGGTGATCTTCACCATGCCGTTCAATGATGCTGGCGTAGTTGCCCGTACCGGCTGCCGACGGCCTCACAGAGCCCAGAGAGCCTCCACAGTAACACCCAGTCAACCCAAGACAGCCCCCAGACGATTCAAACTGGCCTCCAAAACGGCTACCTTGGCCTAGGATGCGCTCCGAAACGGCA